AAAACTGTCATCCTATGCCATCCTATTGTATGGTTGTGTGTAACTGCATTAGGTGTAGTGCTATAGCTGAACTATTCTCTAGATTTCTTATCTTATTCGGGTCAACCAATCTAGATTTTGCTAAGTTTTCATGTTCAGCTAGTCTGACTGCCCCTGTTCTACTAGTTTAACCTATGTATTTGACCTGACAATCATTGCAGGGTATTAGATAAACTAAATTGTTTTGCTTTAAAGGCCCCACTGACAGGATCCTTTAACCGGCAAAGCTTGTTTCTAATTGAGTTTGTGGGTTTGAATGCCATTTTTATTCCTGCCTTGTTAAGAATTCTGCGTAAGGCTTCGGAGGTTCCTTCCCTGTATGGAATTACTACTGATGATTTAGATTCTTTATTGTTGGTGTCGTCATTAATGTTATTATTATTATCACTATTATCATTATCATTATTATTGTTATTATCACCATCGCTACTATCATTATTTATTTTATTTTTACATTTCCTTACATTTTAGTTTTGTTTAACTATCAATAGTTTTAAATAAAGCGGGAAGGAGCGTTTATGCAGAGTGATTTGACGTCACCAATTTTTTCGTTGGTTTCTTTTCAGCTGCCTACACAACCTATGCACAGTTACAAACACAGTAACAGTAAATAATGTTGGATCACCGATTAATGCTATCAATCAGTTAGAGAACCATTGAAAACCAGCCACAAGGAGTACTGGATAGCTAGCTATTTCATCAGCCTAGTTTGGGACTCCGTTTCAGCAGTACGCACCCACCACCGAGGTTTAGAATCCAGGACTCTGTGGTTTCAAGCCAAGCTCGTAGACCAATCGATGATGAAAATCTTGAAACAAATCAAATCCTCACAAACAATTGCATGAAAATTAGTCAGAGGCTCGCTAGTGACTGGCTGCAGGACGAAGTTGCCTGGGGTGAGATGTCGCGTATAGTGGATCGATCCGATTGGGAGTAAGGATGACACATTGACCAGCGGTCGCACTAAAATCACGAAGTGGTAGAAGTTAGAATTCATGGGTTGGCTATTAAGGAGTTGGATCTCAATTTCTGGGAATAGTCTACCAGCTTGGCCTTGTAACCGGAAGGTCCTGGATTCGAACTCTTGTGGTGGGCGCTTACTTCTTATGAGTCACAAAATGAGCTGACGAAACAGCTGGTTATCCACTACATACAATCTCATGATAATAAATAGTGCTCACAACTTACAGTTATATAACTTATGCAAAGAGGGCAAAGTTTAAACAAAGTATTGAAAATACAGAAAACAAATGGATGGATACATTAGAAATTAAAGACTTGCAGACGAGAACCAACAAAGCGATTGAAGAAGCAGTTATTGAAGACAGGACTTGAGATAAACACAGAGAAGATGCGACAACAACAATCAGCCCCAATCACAATCAGCGAGAGAAATTTAGAAGAGTTAACCACTTCCCTCACTTATCTAGGCAGCCAGCATCGCTTCAGCCATAGCCACACGGCACGCACGAAGATGTCGAAACCAGCCAGAATCGAAAAAGGCAACATACGCCTTCATCAATCTGAAACCCGGTTTGTAAGGATTTTCAACACAAATATGAAGTCAGTCAGTTATTCTATATGTTTTTACGAGTTGATCACGGATTGATATCAGTTAGAGAACCATTGAAAACCAGGGAGTACTGGACAGCTGCTGTTTCATCCTAGTTTGGGAATCATCGGCAGTATATGTGTCAGAAACTTGGCCCTCGCGTCACGGAAAGCACTTCCTACAGACTACTGCAGAGTTTTATCAACAGCTGCCCTTCTTTGATGGCTGGCTCCATATTGAAGATCAAACGACTGACCAGCAAGAAACTTTGGGAACAGACTAACGAAGGGCCGATCGCTCAACATATACATTTAGGAGAAGATGGAGGTCGAGGAGAGACCGTCAAATGACATCACGTGCTAGGTCACCAATCATTTGAAACCTGAACGGGAAACAGTGATTGAGCCGTTCGAGATTGACATGAAGGAGATCGTGAGAGGAGAGGGGACGCGTGATTATGAGCAGTCTTAGTCTCAGCTAAAGAGGACAACAGGAAATAAAACAAAGTGAAGCTGTACTGTTGAAGTCATATGTTCCATTCGGAACACAAGGGAACAAAAACAGTTAATAATAACAGATTGGAAACTGAGTTGCACAATCATGGCAGGAGATGAGAATTTGATGGTAAAAGTAGAACTTGAGCATTGTGGTAGAGTATAATATATGAGTGGATGGAAGGAGAGTTCGATCGCTGAATATTCTCTGTTCATCGAATCTACGCCTAACATACGTCCAGTAGGAATAAAACAACTCCAATATCAGAGATGTGGAAAATATTACTACCAATAAAATCGAAGGACGAGAAATAACCGGGATTATATAAACAAAATTTAAAAAATTATGTGTGAGTGTCTTGACATGATTATATGTAACAATAAATTATTGTCCTGGAAACATTCTTGTCATCAGTAATTAATACTGTTTCACTTTGTGCTTTTATCAAATAAGCTTACTCTATGGTGGAATTGTGTATATCCCTGTGTTTGAACACACTGCGACCAAATCATTGAAGGCGCAGAAGTCTGAGAAGAGTTCACCATTTTCGTTCATTTCACCAAGGGCCTCGCGACCCATGGTGAGTTCTCTTCCTGTATTGTCTCCTCCCAGTTTCGCATTCATGTCACCCATCAGGATTTTGATATCGCTTTTTGGGAAGTTGTCCATTACTGCTTGTAATTGTCTGTAGAAGGCCTCCTTCTTCCCTTGTTCTGAGACGTTTGTAGGCGCATAGCATTGGATGATTGTAACCTTCCTTTCTTTTGAGTTGAACCTGGCTGTCATTATCCTGGATGAGGAGATTGGTTCCCACTGCATGAGAGCTTTGGCTGCTGTTGGTGACATCATGATGGCTACTCCCTCGGTGTGCTCGTGATTGTCTTCTGGGTGACCGGAGTAGATTATCGTCTCTCCAGTTGATAGTTGGCTCCTTCCACATCCGTCCCATATGCTCTCGCAGATTCCCAACACTTCTATTTTATATCTTCTCAATTTTGTGACTACCTGAGCAGCCTTTCCAGTTTCGTACATTGTACGAACATTCCACGTCCCCATCCTTATTTTTGCTTTCATCGAAAGAAGGCACATCGGCTGACTGGCTTCCCGAAGGCTTTCACCAGCCTGCGTCATTTCACTTCCCTGATTCCAGCGAAAAATAAGGTTATTGTTTATATTTTTCAGAATTTTTAATATATTTGTGCGTTGAAGTTTCTGTTGCAGTTTGGTTAAGTTTTGGGGCTATAGTTGCTAGCACCACGCCCCAACCCTCCCTCTTTATCCGGGCTTGAGACCGGCTAGAAAACTAATGAGCTAGTAATCTAGGCGAGGTTATGGTGGAATAGATGTTGTGTTTCTGTTTCACGATCCCTAACCCTTCCAGCCAGAAGAACTTCTTATTTCAGCTACAAAATGAGTGAGTCAGAGATTCCTCGACACGTCAAACTGCTGTGTATATCAATTTGAGTGTGTTTGTGAAGGCTAATACACAAAGGTCACACAGAAAGGCGATTGTCTAATCACATGATAGAGCATCTACCAAAATGATTGAAAACAGCTGGAGTCAAAGTACCAAGAAAGTTCAATAACAAAGCACCTTGTCGAAAAATACAGACATGATATTGACACTGTCGAGTCATTCACTTTTGTCACTGAGCAGACAAAGAAACAGGAAGATGCTTACAATTGCTGACGAGGCTTGTGCAATTCGAGTTTATAATCTAAGTCTCTGTGTACTCACAGTTTGCCATTCTTGATACATTCAGGTTCTTTCTCTAATGACTAATTGTTTATCTAAGTGATGTTGTGGTGAGTGCTACTTATAATCCGATATAAGTAGTATATCAGAAACGAAGTAACAATATGTTTGGCACACTGGAAAGAGCAATCAAAGAAGAGAACCATGAGAAGAATGTTGCCATATGATGCAGAATCCAAGAAGTTATCGAATGAGACGATATTCGACCAATTCGTCAAGGATGTGGTAAGATGTGCAAATGGCCGGTTTAGAATGTGGTATTCAATACTATGTACATACGTTTCATCAAATAAACATTCCTTTCAGCCTCCTCAGTCTTGTCTTCTTTACAATGTAATTGAAGCGTAATGCACTTTATCTTAATTTTAATCTCTCACACTCCCTTCTCCCCTTATCTATTTAAACATGACCTGAAAAGCATTCACCCCCATGTAGTTTTGCATGATTAATTCAATGCTGTTAATCTACTTATCAGTCTTATATCTTCCAATGTAATTTCAATAGTATGTCTATATATATCCCTGTGTGTAGAGTATTCAACAGATGAAGAGTGCTCCTGCTAAAATTTGATGAATCCATCATTAAATCCTGTTTTCTTAACACTTTTTTTTGTTGTTGTTTTTTATAAATTTATATCGGGAAATAAATGTTTCTCACAGATTCCCACTAAAATCTAATTGGAAGCGAAATTGAGGTCTTCAATGCTGTAAATTGTAACGGTTTCTCTTCGAGCAATAATTTTGCAACTTCATAGTCCAGCCTAATTACTGTTATTATTATTATTATAACCTTGGGTATACTCATAGGGCTTTAGCTATGCGCTCATTTGGACATGTAACTACTATATAGCTGAGTAAAGGGGAAACCAAATGCGTAAACAGTGTGCAATCTTTGCCCACTTAGTAAGTAATGGACATTCAAAAAAAAACACAGGGGCAGATGTTCTTCGTTTAATTCTTTCGTCTTCTGAAAATCTAAATAGGAATTTTACTAGTCAACCTCGCCACTTGCGGTCCAGGTTTCTTTTTTCCCAGCTACTGGACACAATCTTAAACTTCAGTTAACCACCAAAAAAGGTATATAGTAAGCTCCGTAAAAAAGAAAGGTTGGATGGCTTGAGGCTAGCTAGCAACGCGTCATCCCATAAAAGCATCAACACTGCCTCTTGAAGCCCTCTATGTTTCATCACTCAGGACACAAAGGAATGAAAACAATAAACAATTTGTCAAGAATGCCTTCAAAAAACAGTGTACATTAAAACTGTCAGGACAGAGAAACTTCATTGTTAGCCGCGAAGTCGTGATTTACGTCGCATGCATTCATTGAACAGTTTTGATTGGTTTACTGATGGCTCAATTTTCTGATGGATTTATTTCTTTGCTTTCATACAGCCAATCAAATTCGTTTTATTCATTTGTGGCTTAAATTTCTGAGGGTTTTTGTAAATATAAGACACTATGTATTTTGTTTGTATAACAAATGTTGTAACGGTTGTATCTGAGTTCTATGTCTATCTCAGTGTGGATATAACGTCGAATGATAAGTCATTTATAATATTGTGTACTGTGCAGGCGCATTCCAGTCACATTAGACAAGCTCCATCTCTAATCAAAACCAAAACGAGAAATTGTAGGTCAAAAAGAAAGCGTTGCTTCTTAGGAAAAATTAATTTTAAAGAATCGTACAGTTGCATCATCTGATGCTGTACACAAAAATGGTTCAATGTTTTATTATTATTATTATTCAATAACTGAACAGCATTTTCATTTCCATTTTTGCTGTTTATTTCAACATTATTATTATTATTAGTAGTATGATTGGATGGCGGTAAAGCCAGATCTAAAATCATTGCTTTATGACCCCACCATATTTTCAACGGGATTGGATCTTTCGATTGATTAGAGGAAGACAAAGCTGGAGATTGTATTCTTTCACCAGAGATACCAGGCCATGCGACTAGTGAACCTTTAACAGTTGTAGTGAAAAATATCGGTTTATATCGACTCCAGCATAGTGATGTAATTCCAATAGGTTGCTGTTTCAAATTTTTTTTTTAAAAAAAACGAAAAAGAAAGAAAAATTTAAAAAAAAACAATATGGTGTGGATTATTAAGAAATTCTCATTTTAAAAAAAGAACGAACAACTAGTCTGTGTACTCTTTGGAGGGAGAAGCTTCTCTATCCACCGTGTAGACGTGTGATTTATGGATGCGCTGATATGATAGGCGCCAATTTATTGGACAATTTTGATTGGTCTATCAATGGCTTTAGTTCGTGCAACCAATCAGATTTGTTTATCTACTATGGCTTACATTTCTGAGGGTTTCGCTAATATAAGAGAGCAAGTATTTTGTCTTATAAACGTTGCTGCGGTTGAATCAGAGTTTTGTGTCTATCTTAGAGTGTGTATGGGGGTGGGGAGGGGGGTTGGGAATATAGATTCAAGTGATCGGTATCGTGTTCTGCAGGTGCATTCTAATCAAGTTAGACGAATTCATAATTCAGTATAACTCAGTCATAAAATATATACTGTTTTCCTTAGTATTAGATGATTAGAGGCAATTAGTAGGGAGGCTGGTTTCATCTGGAGTTTCGTCCTTATTGACTGGTATAAGAATGGAACTTGGGCACTGTTTGGTAGAGTATAATTCCTTTATGGTGATAATTTTACTCTGATAAAGTCTCACAGCGTGTTATACAGTAATATTTACTGATGACCACGTTTCAAGCATAATTTATAACTGGTTATATTCATATCAAGGTAGTCACACAACTTCCCGACTTCGTTGATATTAAACGGTTGAAGGCAATTGACAGGAAGTCTTGCTTGGCCTAGGGTTTCATGCTAGTTGGCACTGACCAGTCAACAAGGCACATCTACAGCCTTGAAGGAACTCATGGCCCACCCACCCGTCTGAGATTCAAACCCCGCGTTACCCAGTGCTACTTGCACTCAGAGACGTTACCACCACTGAGCTATTCGGGCTCGCGATTGACCTCCTGTAAGACTGTATTGGATGCTTTGATTGGACTGATATAATTGAGTCTACACCAAACAAAGGACTAGACATATTACACTACTTGCTAACTAATGTCCGATCAAAGTTTTCGACTTCGTTGATACAATTTCATTATTCCACATCTCTTGATTTAATCATTAGTAGGAATATTTTCCATATCTCTGGTAGTAGTGATGAGCCATTCCCATTGCATCTGGTGGGTACAGATTCGATGAACAAAGATTCAGTAATCAATCTCTCTGTCTCCCCCACCCTACTGTGTGTTAATGCATGCAGTGCAATTGCTGAGTTATTTCCTAAATTACTTATCTTCGTGGGGTCAGTAATTCCAAGTAAGATAACTATTTTTAGAATATTACTGTATAACACTGAGAGACTTTATCAAAATAAAATTTTCTCCATAATGAGACTTAATGGCTGGCAATCATCAGCAAGGATTATATCCTGGAAAGATATCCTATTCCTTTGAGTGATTCATCATCAAGTGCTGCTTCAATCAGAAACATCAGCACAAAAAAATCGGTGAAAACCATATACTACTGATTGCTTGATGTGAGTAGTTGTATACCACGTATATCAACGAGTACAGTGCTAGCTAGTCATATATAGAAGTGCACCGCAGTTTCGTTTGTTTGGGGGGGGTGAGCACATCAGCCATGTACACGGTTTGTTATCCACCTGTATGTATGTGAAACGATGCTTCCTAGGACAAGTAACTAGCAGAAGAGGTGACATCCTTTAGACATTCTCTCTTATTGATAGTGATTGATGTTTATGGTTGTTGGTTATGCGTGTATCTCTGTGACCTGTATCTACTCTACGGCCCAATTACGGTCCTATCTTTGCTGTCATCTGTTTTTATGATATCCACATGTAGATCTTCGACTTTGAGTGATATATCAAACATAAATCACGCGCGTAGACGCACCCACCGCCAGGTGTTTGAACCCAGGAACTTCTGGTTACAAGGCGAGCGAGCTCGTAGACAATTACTCAGCCACTGGGACCCGATCCAATGGCTCCAGACCAGTCCATGAATTTCAACTTCTGCCAATTCACGACATAGTGCGACCGCTAGCTAATGTCTTCACCGAGTATCTGTCCTCACACTCAACTTCCTGTACCCCACTGGTTAGGACTTCTCATCAGAACCCAGTTAACTACCTTTTTGATTTGACACTAGTAACTAGTATGATGCGTCTAGTCCTCTCTTTGGTGCAGACTGAATTCTATCAGTCAGGTTGTAATATGGCCACCATTCTAGGCAGCTCGCCATCACGGTATACATTGTTTATGATGATATTAGATGGTCGGAGGCAATCGGTCACAGGAAGCCTTGGACCTAGGTTTCGTGCTAGTTGGCACTCATCAGCAAGGCGTATCTGCAACCTTGAAGGAACTCATGTCCCTTCTGAGATTCGAGCCCGCGTCACCCAGTACTGCAGTCAGAGACGTTACCACTGAGCTATTCGGGCTCGCAATTAACCTCCTGTAGGACTGTAGTGGATATTTTTGATTTGACACTAGTAACTAGTGTGATGCGTCTAGTCCTCTCTTTGGTGCAGACTGAATTCTATCGGTCTCTCAGAAGGGACATGAGTTCCCTCAAGGTTGCAGATACGCCTTGCTGACGAGTGCCAACTAGCACGAAACCTGCTAGCTTCCTGCCGACTGCCTCCGACCATCTAATATCACCAGTTAACTATCTACCTGAATAGGACGAATCGCTAGTGAGCACATCACATTGATATTCGAGTGTTGGTTTGCAGGGATTCCATTTGATTGATTAAAGGACATCTGTTGTAGAACCTGTAGGAAAACCAGCAAGGAGTACTGGATAGCTGTTACGTCAGCCTAATCCGGGACTCTTCAACAGTACGCCCCCCGCCCGAGGTTCGAACCCTGGACCGTCCAGTTACAAGACAATATCAGATCGTGATCAAACCTGTAGGCAATCAAAATCCTTGCAAATCAATACTTGATAATTAATCTGATACTCACTAGCGACTCATCTGGAGTTACCTGGGTTCTAGTGAGAAGTCGTGACCAAGTGGGTCGCAACAGGGCAGATACTCGCCAGTGACACTGGCTAATGCCAGTCGCGCTATGTCATGAATCGCCAAAAGTTAGAATTCATGGTTCGGCCATGGGATCTGGGTCCCGGTGGCTTAACGGTCTCTACTAGCTGGTCGTGTAACCAGATGGCCTAGGGTTTGAAGCCCTGTTGTTGGGTGCGTACTTCTGAAGCAGAGCCCCAAACTAGGATGACGAAACAGTTGTTCAGTACTGCCTGTGGCTGGTTTTCCAATGGTTCTCTAATTGATGTCATCTCATGATAATGAAATCCTGTAACCAATCAAATCAGATCCTGGCAAACCAACATTTGAGGTTTATAAAAGTTTGTGTGGCACAATAAAAATAACACCACAGTGTTATTGAAACAGTTTTACAAATAACTTCACAGGTCAATAATGTCGAAGAAGACCCTGTGTTTATTAAAAGTTGATAAAAATGATAGATACAGACAAAGAGGAGGAAAAAAAAGAATAGTGCACAAACAGGAGAACACATTATTATTATTATTCCCTTGCTTTCCGAGTGGAACATTGGGCTTCAACTACACATCTCCACTTTGTTCTGTTTTCTGCCGTCCTCTTCAGCTGAGTCCACACTTGACCAAACTCTCTCATCTCTTCTTCACACGATCTCCTCCGTGTCACCTTAGGACGACCCACTCGTCGCTTCCCATTGGGATTCCACTCGAAAGCCTGACGTGCGATGTTATTCGACGGCCTCTTCAATGTATGCCCAACCGATATATCTCCACTTTCTCCTACATATTTGTTGACCGATCGGCTCCTGGTTGGTTAGTTCCCACAGTTTTCTGTTGCTTATTCTTTCTGGCAATTTAATCTTCACAATGGAGCCACCGAAGGCAGCTGAAAGTCTGCAACCTGTTGGAAATCCTTTTCGTGATACGCTGGCCAAGTTTCTGACCCGTATAGAAGAACCGACTTTACATTGGTGTTGAAAATCCGAATCTTGTTCCTCAGGCTGAGTGCAGAAGATTTCCAAACTTGTCTCAGGTTGATGAAGGCGTATCTTTCCTTTCGGATTCTGACTTCGACATTTTCCGACATCCATTCCGCCTGTAGTTGAAACGATAATTGAAGGAGGCAACCTCTGTTAAATCTCTCCCGTTGGTGGTGATTGGTGCTGGTTGTTGTTGCTATCGGTGGTGCTTGGTTATTATCATCACCTCCGTCTTCTCTGTGTCCGCCCGCAGTCTTATTTTCGCCTGCCTGCAAGTCTTCGAGTTTGTGTGACACTAGACATATATCATCTGCGAAATCCACATCTTCTAGAGTCTTTTTTTATCGGTCGTCCAGCGTATTCCTGACTCCTCTCCCTCAACAGTCTGACGTATAATCAATCCAGTCCACCACAATTAAGAATACCATCGATGATAATAGGCAGCCTAGTTAACTAGCTCACTAGTTTCCTAGCCAGTCCCAAGGCCAGGTAAACAGGGAGGTGGTTGGGCATAGGGCTAGCAACCCCACACCTCAAAATCTTTCAAACCGCTAGAGAAAACTTCAAAGCAGGAGAACACATAAAGCAAACAAAATAAACTAACTCCATCATCTTCATCGATATATATCCATTTTTGACGTATACTAAGTGTTTGAGTATCACATATCCCCAGGATACCAGTCACTGTACCGAATGCAAACAATGGATGCCTAACATAATCAATTAATAAGAAAAGTAAAACAGTGAATTAGTTGACAATACAATAAAAACTATTATTGAATGAAGTTCAACTTTATATATTCAACGCCTAGCAAGAACTCACAAATAACCTACCTGGTAACGCTAAATAATTTGCAATAGAGAACTTTGCCCAGAATTGTGCCACTTCAAGTGTTGCTGCAATTTATGTAGCCTTGCACATCCGGTGATTTAGCGGCAGGACTCTCGCCAACCATGCGTTTAGTCCACGGTCCGATCCCCGACCGACTGACGCACTCCTAAACCTCTCTAAGCTGGTAAATAAGGCCGATAAGGAGGGAAAGTTGGGTGTGAGTGAGGCTAGCAGCAACCCCACCCCATAAAATAAACATCACTGTTACCGAAACTTCCAAAGAGCTTGAAGTTTGAAGCACTATGTTCCAATCGGAACATAAAGCAATAAAATAGATAAAAATAAATGACACATCCAACCTTCCCGCTTTGCCAGTCTTAATATCCGGTTAAGTGAGGGATTTAGGAGTGTATTGTCAGTCGGGGATTGGAAATACGGGCTCTTGCAAGTCCGTGTGGTTGGCACAAGTATTCTAGCCCCTAAATATCACCGAAGCATTTCTAACTACCTTCAATACACTTTGACGGATGTGAGGACAAATACTCGCTACCGATGACACTGACTAGTGCCAGTCGCGCTATGTTGTGGACTGACAGAAGTAGGAATTCATGGACTGGTTCGGCCATTGGATCGGGTCCCAGTGGCTGGTAAATGGTCTACGAGCTCGCCTTGTAATCGGAAGGTCATGGGTTTGGACTCTTGTTGATGGGTACGTGCGTACTGATGAAGAAGAGTTTACGCCGTCTCTGGCGTAGACCAGATATCCAGCTATCGACCAAAGGGCATGTGTACTGCTCAGCAGTCCTCTCCGTCATCCTTTATGACTATGAGACCTGGCCATTGAGAGTGGAAGACCTGAAAAGACTGGCTAGCTGTCTTTGATTATTGGTGTCTGCGTTCTATCGCCCGTGTGAAGTGGTATATTAAGGTGAGCAATATTGAGGTTAGACACGGTCCAGTGCTAGGTAAGGAGGGAGTGGAAATCAATAGACGAGGCTGTGAAGCTACATCAACTGAGATGGTTAGGACATGTGTTACGTGTGCCTAGCCACCGCCTTCCACGACAATGGGCAATGTTAGCTGACATAGGGTCAGGTTGGAAAAGAGCCAACTAGTGGTGGTGAAACCAAGACATGGCTTCATCAGTCAATGAAATCTGCAACATTTAGTTTGAACCAGCGACGTAGGAAGATGTAGAATTCCTGACTGGTTGAGGTCCTCGGGACGGTAAACACCAATGAAGGCTGGAGACAATCGGTGATATGGCTGACTCAAAGTGATCGTTCTCAATGGCTGGCGCAGATACATCCTCTCCTTGTGACTTATAATTTCCAATAAAACTATATTCTTCTTCGATATTACTATTCTTTTCGCCTCATATCTCTGTTTACTGTCTTTATTTTGCGTTTCATTTTACTTTCCTCTCTTGCTTTGTGTGCTACATGGAGTGTAAAGTTCTATGTTGAAAACAGACAGACAGACAGGTGAAGAAGAGTGCCAAACCAGGCTGACGAAACAACTGGCTGTCTGGCAGTACTCCCTACGGTTGGTGGTTTTCTAATGGTTTCTCTAACCGATATCATCTCATGATGAAATCCTGTAACTGGCCGGAATTAATGAATCCGTTAGATTTTATGAGGCAATGTTTGTGATCATAGTTATTCAATCTTTGTGGACAGGAGTATCAACACGTAAAGCATGCACCAAAGATGAATCAACGCTTGTTTAAAAAGATTTGAGGAATTGTAATACGACGAGAGGCATCAGTGGTTCGACGCTGATGGAATGTCCGCCATCAATGCACGTAAGCACGCACATGGTCCAGATTCAATTCTCAGCCGACGACTCCCCCTTGAAACTCACCTAGTGGGTGCGGCAATACACCCGAAAAAGGGGGCAGATTGGGTATGAGGTGGCTACCTACTCCATCCCGTACAAAAAGAACTCCAAAGCTATTGAAATTTTAAGCCGTAGAAGCATGACATTCCATTTAAGTTTATTTTAAATATGAAAACAAAACACGTAGTTCAGCAAAGAGTCTCTTTTCGGCAAACTCATTTTCGTAGCTGTACAGTCGCAAATATATATGGTTGTTTTGTATGTGTGTGCACATTAAGTTTGTCAAACAAAAATACAATTGGTTAGGGTTATTTTAACTAAACAGGTGAAGATTGGTAATTGGAGTTACGTAATACAAAAACGGTCAAGAAAGTTGGGTGTTAATGAAACTAGTGTAGTCGCAAAAATGGTGAGTTATCACAAACACTTGTCGAAAAGGAGTTACGTAATAGCATGGGTAGTTTGATGATTGAGTTTTACTCAGGATACAAATAGGAACAAAGTAGAGAATACGAAATTACGTAAGAGTTCTAAATGAATAGAAGAATTATTAGCAACTAAGGAACAGGCACAAACAAAATTAAGTCATCAAAATCAACAAAGTTGTTACCATGACAGTAGAAATGGTTGAGTAATTCTCTTTTGTATGCATAGCTCTGGTTTTTCTATGTGAATGGGCAGTTTCAGTGATACTGTGGTGAGAGCTGTCTACTAGCAAAATTGGTAGACAGTAATTTACGTCAATATTTACGTTCCCAAGATTTGTCGTGAGAAACAACCAATCGGAAGACTGTGTTTGTTTGTTTACATATCCATAGTAATGTACATGAAAACATATATAAATATGCGTTGATTTCCTTAATAAATGATCTGTTGCCTGACTCTTGCCTTCTGTCGTTACAATACAAAGAAGACGAAATCGTATTGCCTTTGGTAGCTTATTTGTGACTCTGTAGATTACTTTGAAGCAGGAGGCGTTTGTTGAGATGGAATGATCAGTGTTAACCAGGTGTTCAATTATCGCACTCCTTATTGCACCATTATTGCCTTTTCGCAACCATGCTATTCATATTTTTACATAACTTCTTTTTAACAACACCCAATTTTCTTGACCGTTTTTGTATTACGTAACTCCAATTACTAATCTTCACCTGTTTAGTTAAAATAAGCCTAACCAATTGTATTTTTGTTTGACAAACTTAATGTACACATGCATACAAAATAACCCCATATATAATTGCGATTGTACAGCTAAGAAAATGAATTCGCCGGCGAAAAGAGATTCTTCGCTGAACTACGTGTTTTGTTTTTATTAATGCCTGGATGGGGATTATTCATGAATATTTTAAATATTACATAGTGATGATGCAGTATTAACAACTGGATGAAAAAGTTTTGAGCATAAATTATTGCCACTCACAATCATCATATCAGTTTGGTCACACGGCTTCACAATTCGTCTTATGTATATAAGTTTCTCTCTCCCTACCTCTTTCTCTTGTTGTTTGTTATCACTTATCTCCATATCTCCGGTATAGGTGCTCCGTCATTCCGATTGTATGTGTGCGGTGTTAAATCGATGAACAAAGATTCGGTGATTAACCTGTATCTCTCTCTCTCTCTACCTAACTATATTACTTTTTAATACTCTCAGTCTGTCTGTCCCACCCTTTCCTTGTCTGATGACAAGCACATGAATGCAATGCAATGCAATGGCTGACCTGTGTGTTTTCTATGTTATCTAACTTAGCAGGGTCAATCATCCTATATCTGGTTAAATTTTTATGTTCCAATAATCTAATTGACCTCAATCTACTAGTTTGACCTATGTAATTCACCCCACCCACAGGCATTACATGGTAATTGAGGGCCTTAAGCCGACAGACAAAGTTTATCTCTGAGTGAGTGAGTGAGTTGGTTGGTTGGTATAAATGCCACCCTGACTAATTCTAGCCTTATTGAGTATCCTACTTAAGGCCTCTGAAGACATTCTTTCTTTTTATATGGAGACATTATTACATAGGACAGGAGTAAGACAAGGCTGCCTACTATCGCCAATGATTTTCCTGATTGCAGTAGATTGGATAATGCGACTAACAGCGGGCAATGAGGAAACAGGCATAAAATGGACTCACACAAAAAACTTCGAGGATCTGTACTTCGCCGATGATATATGTCTGATTTCCCACAAACTGGAAGATATGCAAGCGAAAAGCAAAAAGTTGGCAGAAGAAGCATCAAAGATAGGAGTTCATGTGAACATAGGGAAAACAGAGGTGATGAAGATTCCTGGCCAACAGCAACCGCAACAACAGACAACAATCAGCATAAATGGAAGGAACCTGAAAGAAACAACCTCTTTTACCTACCTGAGAAGCATCGTTTCAACTACAGGCACACGGAAGTGACGAGGATATCAAAGCAGGAATCGGAAAAGCAAGACAAGCTTTCACTACTCTCAAGTCTGTGTGGAGGTCAACAGCACTCAGCATCAAAAATAAGATCGGGATTTTCAACTCCAATGTGAAGTCAGTCAGTGCTACTATACGGATCAGAGACTTGCACTGCGCGTCATAAAGAGCATCTCAAACAAACTACAAACCTTCATCAACAGTTGTGTTCGCTCAATACTCAAGATCAGATGACCGCAAAAGATCAGCAACAGAGAGGTATCTCTGGGAGCGAACCAACACAGCAGGAACCGATTGTGAAACAAATAGACAAGAAAAGATGGAGATGGATTGGCCATACTCTGAGGAAACAAGCCATCAAGTGACATCACTAGACAAGCCATCGCTCGAGTGGAACCCGGCCGAAAGGGAAGCGGCGAGTTGGTCGTCCAAGGGTGAGGGTGACTTGGAGGAGGTCATGTGAAGAGGAGATGAAAACGTGTGGGCAGACTTGGAGCCAGGTGAAGACTCTAGCAGAGAACCGAACGCAATGGAGACGCACGGCTGAAGGCCTATGTTCCTCTAGGAATTAAAGGAAACAATGATGATTCGTTATTTTCATTGCTAATGTTAGTTTTTCTAAGGTGTTCTTCAGATTTTTTTGAATAAATCCTGATAATTCTAGTAATATTTCCTTTATTTGTTTGATTTCCTTATTTAAATCATCTGACATAGTAAAGTTGGCCTCCTGGCCCGATTAAAAAGACATCGAATTAAACCTATCTTTGCCGACTCTCGACAGGATGAATTAAAGTCTATGTATTTATTTGAGTGTATTGGTTCCCTATAAATGTTAGTATCTAACCACCACCCACCATCTTGTTTTTGTTTTATTTTACTGTCTAGAATGGCCAACTCATCCTGTTCGTTATCTAACTCAAACGTGAATTGGATTCTATCTACTATTGAGTTTATATATATGTGACAAAGTTAGAGACATATTCAGGTTTAAACACAGCAGTGAATGTGTCATCCACACATCTCCCTCCATCATAACCTTAGGAGGAGCAGGATTAAACGTTCTAAGAGCTCTTATGTTCCCAACTATCTATAAATATGTCTGCTACTTGTACTTAGCCTCCAAAGCCTCAGGATGGTCGGGGGTGGGTGCCTTGCGCTGCCGGTTGGCCACCCCTCCGCACACCTCTTGAAATGCTCCCATATGACCGGGCGTCTTACATAGCCTCTCCTGAGGAAGTCCTACTCACTGCCTTCACGTGGCGGAGGTGTTTTTCACCAAAGTGAGAGGGCGAAAGCGGATGCCCGGTGCTCTTCACCGGGTTGACTGTCCATTGGATGACAGTCTAGGGGAGATGGCTAAACCCTGATTCCAAACCTCCAACGACTGGCGTATGAAGCTCACTGGCAGACGTATGGACAAAGGGCTTGTTGGATGTCCTGGATGTCTGGCCCCATTCAAAAAGGCGTATGAACCGAACTCCGGTCACCGGCTGCCAATGGATAGTGGACTCCCTACTCCACTCCTACTGCCTTGTAGGTCACACTTGGTTGTGTAAAGGCTAGAGCTGCACTCTCAAACAAAAGGCCGAGCGATTCTGGGGACATCACTCCTACCAAATTCCCATGAAACTTCATGAACTCTCTTAATGTCGCAAACCTCATCAGATCGCCGCGCCTGGGCAGCGATGATTCCAGATGTTCATGAAGCCGGCTCATCCTCCCGTAGGAGATAGCCGAAGTAAAGTAAGTTGGGATATTGGTGATTCCGTTGTCAGTCCATTCGTATATTGATATAGTTTGCTTTGTAATTTGAAAACAACGGAGGTTAGACATAATAACTGAACACCTAATATAATTTCATCAACCAAGCGAGAACTTAGTCCTACTTTCGAGTTCAGGATCAATGATCAGTTTATTCCTTACTGACCTTTGTGTTCCACTCGGAACCTGAGACAATTTTAAAAAAATTTTTATTCCTTCACGGTCCAAGTGGAACATAGGGCTTCAAGCTAGAGGCTTGAAGTTTCAGTAGTAGTGATGTTTATTTTTACTGGATGAGATTTCTAGCCTCATGCCCAACCTTCCCTCTTTATCGAGATTCTGACTGGCTTAGTGAGGTAAAGGAGTACTTCGGCAAGGGATCGAACCCCGGACCACATGTGTAGTCGGCAAGCATTTTACCGCTGTGCCACCGACGCACAAGACAATAATTATTATAATAATGCACAGTGAGTACAGGGACTTACGTCCATGAACAGCTCAATGCTTCAACTGATCCATCATCCTCCGTCTTGATTACATCTAAAACCTAAACAACGTATACACACATATATTAAAACAGTTAGTTCATTTGATAAATTTGAATAGGGCATTTAGAAGACGAATTTAGCGAGATAAGATCGTCATTTCGTAGTTTCTTTACAACCACTTTACAACTAGCAACATGGTTCACAATAATAAAATAAAATAAAATGTATGACAATTACTCAGTTATATAAAACAAAAGTACATACTAATGGCGAATCATATTTAAATAGGTCAAGGTGTCAGTCCATGGTAGGTGACACTAATTGAAGTCTATTGTGTTGTTTTTGTACACACAATTGAGGCTGTATGTGATGAATCCAAAGTGCTTCTTCCATCACCTTCAATAACCATCCTTGAATAAGAGTAATGTAAAATAATTGTGAAACAGTCATTAATTAATATTGATTTTGTGACCTGACATTAATAAGTGCTTTGCAATGGATGATGATGACGGATTTCTATTCAGATTAATTGCATTTGGATTTTCTATTTGTTATCATAACCATTTTGGAACATGTTCTTTTCGACGACCACATTGGAAAATTCGATTGGTTCTACCTACATATACATATATACTCAGTTTTATTAGCTAATGGTTATTCAGAAAACCTGCTTTAACAATTGTCCCAGTAAGGATAAACCAAATCTTGAAAAGACAGCTTCTGTACCAAAGAAAGCTATCTTTATTAACCTACCATCTAAGGGTGACCAGATTATGCAGTTGACAGTTAGCTCAAAGACTTCGGTCAGCCATCAAGCGCATATTCTACGCCACATCTCTTTCCATCACATGCCGAACATTTTCGATCCTTGTACCTACAATTAAAGGACGAAACTTTGTGGACTTTACTTCAAACTGTATCTACTAGTTCACCTGCAGTTGCGGTGACATACGCATATATAGGTAGAACCAATCGAATTTTCCAATGTGGTCGTCGAAAAGAACATGTTCCAAAATGGTTATGATAACAAATAGAAAATCCAAATGCAATTAATCTGAATAGAAATCCGTCATCATCATCCATTGCAAAGCACTTATTAATGTCAGGTCACAAAATCAATATTAATTAATGACTGTTTCACAATTATTTTACATTACTCTTATTCAAGGATGGTTATTGAAGGTGATGGATGGAAGAAGCACTTTGGATTCATCACATACAGCCTCAATTGTGTGTACAAAAACAACACAATAGACTTCAATTAGTGTCACCTACCATGGACTGACACCTTGACCTATTTAAATATGATTCGCCATTAGTATGTACTTTTGTTTTATATAACTGAGTAATTGTCATACATTTTATTTTATTTTATTATTGTGAACCATGTTGCTAGTTGTAAAGTGGTTGTAAAGAAACTACGAAATTATATGATCTCTGGAAATTTGTCTTCTAAGTGACCTTATTCAATATAATATATATATATATATATATATATACGATTGTACAGCTTGATGATAAATTCGTTGAAAAGTCTCTTCGCTGAATCATTTGTTTTGATTTTCTATATGTTACAATGGGAATTTTCAATGACGTATATATATATATATATGCCTGTCTGCTTCACTTTCCCTGCCTTAGTCTTGACGTCTTCATCCTTTTAAGGTAATTACTAATTTATCAAGTAAGTATAAAACTTGGGCACTGTTGTAGAGTATAAACTACATTATGGATGAGATTTTATTTTGATAAATCACAGTGTTGTACAGTGTCATCAGTGTAATACAACTGTGTAACACTGTGTGATTTATCAAAATAAAATCTTATCCATAATGGAGTTATACTAATTTATCACCTGTCTTCTTTATGTTTTTTCGAATCCCGGTGGGTGCGTACTGATGAAGAGTCCCAAACTAGGACGAAACAGCTGTCCAGTACTCCCAGGTTTTCCAATGGTTCTCTAACTGATGTCAGCTCATGATGAAATCCTGTAACCAATCAAATCCCTACAAACCAACACTTGAAAATTTATATATATCTTTTTCGATTACAACTTGATGCCACACCGTATTTTCAGTACAAGTATGGAATTCTCAGCATGTGGATATCGGTAGCCCAAATTTTGCATGCTGACCGTAGATATTGGGTGTGCATCGGCAGGGGATCGAACTCCAGACGGTGAGAGTCCTAACCACTGTGCCACCGACACACAGTTCATCATGTTCATCATCACGTCACAGTTCTTATTCTTGCTTTCATCAAGAGAAGACACATCAACTGGCTAACTGACTGGCTTCCTGAAGGCTTTCACTTGCCCGCATCATTCCGCCTCTACGATTCCAGCGAAGAAAAACTTTAAAAAAAAATATTTTTCGTACTTTTAATATTATTTCTTGTGCGTTGAAGTTTCTGTAGCAGTTTGACTGGTTTTATCGTGTAGGGTCGCTAGCCGCACACCCGCCTCTCCCTCTTTACCTGTTTAGCCTCAATCACCCGGAAGCAACTGCTCATGTACCAAGCTAAAAGTCACATTTATTGTTTGAAAGCTACTGACCCTACCGCCCAGTTGCCCAGGCAGTGAAGCAGGTAGGCTCGAACCCCGTGACGCATCGTCTGGAAACCGAGTTCTTAAGGCTAATAAGCTACCTACCTCTTCACCAGGCAATACTAATGGGCTCTTTATGTTTCATCGTACATCAAGAAAAAAACCAATTTCCACGGTGTAGGCTCAGCTAGGTATTATCAACACAGCACTTCCACCAAATGTACAACACAAAGGCTTTCAGATATGATGGAGAAGATTTGTAGCTTAGGTGGATGATTTCGATGTGGGTGTGTTCTCTGAGCTGACTGGATGATTTATTTGTGAAGCTTTCATTGCCCAACTAGCCAACATCTTAGGCGCATACTTCAATTGGTTGAAATGACCTTTTAGATTTCTCCACGAGTTTATTAGTCATCTCTCCTGTTGGGTGACCTTGAACGTGATTGGTTGTTTTTGTGTGTTTTACACAAACACTCATGGAGAAATCTAAAAGTTCACTTCAACTCAAATTGAATTGAAGTTTGGGCGGAAGATGCTGCCTAGTAGGACGGGGGGACAATGAAGGCTTCGCAATTTAACTATCCAGCTTAGATAACACAACCACATAAAAAAAAGCAAAGGCTTCCTGACAATAAACAGCAGACAAGAAAAAACATCGCATAATCAACAATTGCCATAAAAAAATTTACCTTTAAACGTGAATCTAACATTTCAGTAGTATGCTTAAGTGAAACAGGACATATAAACCCATTCCCTGTGATTAGAAATACATCACTCTCGCTTGAATTCATAACCGTTGAAGATGCAGTTAATGATTGAGGTGATAGTGATATCAACTGATAGACTTCTAAATCTCTGCATAAAGTAGATAAACTTGAATGTGTACTGAACAGCTGAAGACTAGTGATCTGTGATTCTGTTTTTAAATCCCATACACGTAAATCACCATCTTTGTAGAGGACAGCTAATTTTGGCTTATCTGTATACATTGAACTTGGTAGAATGACAGCATCAATAGCTGGTTGACCAGTACCTTTAGGGGTTGCGGTGAGATTGGTAACCAAAAAAAACGAGGGAAAAAATTGAGAATAAAAAGAACCGGAAAATATGTTCGAGTGTTTGACTGACTGACTAGCGGCAAAGTTAAAATTTCGACACCAGTAAAAACCAATCAGCAAACGGCCTTGAACGGACCAATCACATGAAAGAGGCGTTTATGATAAGCGGAAACGTATATTTATAGAAAAATGCATAGAAAAAATGATAAAACGGTTACAACGGGTATCATTCCTGAACATGGGAGAGAAACATTTCCCAATTCAGCATGGGACTGTCAATAGAGAAGTCGCACCACATTCTATACATATATTCATCTAAATGACTATATATGAGATCTTTTTGAGATCCATTTATAGTTCTTATTTTATTTTTCAATCGACCCCAAAATCCTTCAATGTCTGCTATTCTTTCAACAAATCCTTTTCGGAGGGAAGTGCCGTATAAACCTATGACCCAAATGTTGTTCGCTCTCTGACGACCGCGGTTATATTTCTTCTTCACCAACACTGTCTCATCCACATGGACTGCTACGTCGTCCCCGCCTAACAACGAAGTAATTGGGGCCATTTTCCATGAGGCGATGTCTCTGCAGTGCTGGTACCACTGAACTGTTGAGAGACGAGGCTGTTCTCCGTCTCGGCAGCAGCGGCTCTCATGGGCTGTTTCAGTACCCAGTAATTGCAAATATACAAAATCTGGGTTAGGGAGAGATGCGACCTAGCAAAAAAGTTCCTACGAAATATTACCCTCTCTAATACTAACTCGCTTCCAGCATATTACACAGCGATGTACAAAACCATCAGTTGACCTAGTATAGCTTTTTAGAGTCATTACACCACGAGCAACTTCTCTCCTTTCGAAGCAAGCCTGAGTCCAGGCGATACTGAAAGACACTATCCTCCTCGAATTGCAAACGTAACCTTGTAAGGGCACGCATTGAAATGAATCAAGCGCTGTACAACATTGAACTACGTTCGTGAATCTCACTGGATAATTCGACGTCGTTTGCTGATTGGTAGTTACTGGTGTCTAAAGTTTAACTTGGCCTGACTAGTTAACTGACAGAGTTTTCAATCGAGAACTTTCTACAAAAGTGTGCCGACCACAGTTCAAGTTCAAACATTTCATAAAGCCAGGCGCTGAAGAAATCGGAACACGGATGCCTAAGGCTGGTTTGATGTGGGTTCACGTACGCCATCTCTGACACAGACGTGATATCTGACTACCTGTCTACCAGAGGACATGTGTACTGCTCAGATGCAGTTCGCTTCGTCCTCCTTCATGACTGGCTGTGAGTGAAACATGGCCATTGAAAGTGGAAGACATGAAAAGGCCGGTTAACTGTCTCTGATTATAAGTGTCTGCGTACCCTCTCTGCTGTGTATGTTAAGTGGCATAATAGGGTGAGTAACACTGAGTTGGTGGGGCATCAGTCGAGTGGTAGATGAGGAGGGGAGAAACAAACCGACGAGGTTGCGTAGTTACACCGATTGAGATCGTTAGGACACATGTTACGCATGTGTTATGCCTAGCCATCGCCTTCCTCGACAACAAACCAAAACACATCCTCATCAGTCAGTGAAATCCATAACAGTTATTTTAAGCCAACTAGCCAGCCACGCAGGGAGGTGTAGACCTCCTGACTGGTTGGGATCCTCGGTATGGTAAGAACCAATGATGGCTGGAGGCAACTGGTGATGCGGATCAAAGACCTCGTTCCCAATGACTGGCTAGTGCAGATGCATTCACTCTTTGTGATTTATAATATCCAATAAAACTATATGGTTCTTTGACATTACTATTCTTTCCGCCTCATATCTCTATTTATTATCTGTCTATACTCTCTTGTTTTTCTTTGTGTGCTACATAGAGGGACTGTGGCAACTCAAACAGCTGCACACCTGTGCGAATTTCTACGTTGAAACCATCCAGTCAGTCGGACACAAAAAAGAAGGGACAGGAAATTCAAATGAAGTAAAATAATATTTAGCGATTACGGGATTTGTAGGGTTTTAGATTATTTCAATTTTTCAAAATAATTTGTTTGTAGGGAATTGATGATTGTTTCAAGATCTTGATCAGAGATTATTGACGTCAGTCAGTTACAGAGAACTGTTGGAAGACCAGTCACAGGGAGTACTGCCAGACAGCTAGCTGTTTCGTCAACCTAGTTTGGGACCCTGTTTCAGCAGTAAGCAACCATCACACGGGTTCAAATCCAGGACCTTCGGGTTGTGAGGCAAGCTCGTAGACCATTCAGTCACTGGCACCCAACTCATTAGTGGCTCATGGATTATTCCAACTTCTACCATATCCGATTGGGAGTGAGGACAACTATCCGCCAGCGATGACACAATGGTTGGTACAAGTCGCGCTAAAATCACAAATTGATAGAAGTTAGAATTCACGGACTAGCCATCGGACTAGCTAGAAGGGACTCTGGCAAACAACGAACTAACCAGTAGCCTATCGCCCAATAAAATATGCCAAAGGGAAATGGAGATGGATCGGAGGACATGTGCTGAGAAGACTGTTGAGTAACACCATGTATCAGCCAGGCCATAGAATGGAAGTCGAATGGAGAACAACGAGTTGGGTGTGTATATCAGAGGATGACATGTAGAAGATTGTGTGAGGAACCAGATTAAAAGGACTGCGGAGGACAGTGTCAAATGGAAATATCCTGTTCAAGCTGTATGTTCCCCTTGTTGCCTGGCTGGCTAGTTTCAACATGGAACTTTGTACCGATGTGCAGCAGTTCCAGTCGCCATACTCCCTCCGTGTAGCACACAAAACAAGAGAAGAAAGCAAAACGAAACGCAAAATAGAGACAGTAAACAGAGATATGGGACAAAAAGAATAGTAATAACAGTGAACAATATAGTTTCATTGGGTATTATAAGTCACAAGGAGTGGATGCATCCGCACCAGCCACTGAGAACGATCACTTTGAGCCAGCCATATCACCAATTGTCTTCAGCCTTCATTGGTGTTTACTGTCCCGAGGACCCCGGACAGAAAGTCTACACCTTCCTACGTGGCTTAAACTAACTGTTGTGGATTTCATTGACTGATGAAGCCATGTTTTGGTTTGACTACCACTAGTTGTCTCTTTTCTAACCTGATCCATCCAATGTCAGCTAACATTGCCTGTTGTCGAGGAAGGCGATCGATAGCTAGGCATGAGTAACACATGTCCTAACCATCTCAATCGATGTAGCTTCACAGCCTCGTCTATTGATTTCCACTCCCTCCTTACCTAGCACTGGACCGTGTCTAACCTCAATATTGCTCACCCTACTATACCACTTCACACGGGAGATAAAAGGCAGGCACCTATGTTCCCCTTGAAAACTAATGATAATAGTAAAACGTGTTTGCCGAATGAAGATGTTGCCGTTTGCAGTGAGCCCCACAGCTATTCAGTGTATGTATGTGTGTGAGGGCTATACTCTAATACTACGCAGTCTCACCTAGATCTCAATGAGTGAGGAGTGATGTTCAAACGCGTTGCCCAGTGGTTGGGGTGTAAAACAAAAGTACCTTGGACGATGACCCCCCCCCCATACATAGTTCCACAGTCTCCCAAAAATATTAAAACGAAGAATGTATACACATACCTGATAAACATTTTGCATGACTAGCTGCACTGTTAGTGTTTGTTAAATTCGCTTTAACCGGCCAAGCAGTCACAAGGCCATCTTCATCTCCAGCCAATAGGACAGCAGGATTTGGTAATCCAGCGTTGTCAACTTTTGACTTCATGATAATACTATTCACTGGAGGTGACCACCATCTTATCCATAAGAGATCTCCTGTATTCAGTGTAGTCAATAATTTCCATTCCAAGGAGTTTTCTACGCTTTTTAACGGTTTCAACCAGACACGAATACTACCAGCCATATCACCAGTGCATAAATAAGCACCATCTGGGCTAAATTTGACACAGTGGACAGAATCTTCATGACCTAATAAAATGTGGTGATAAAAAAGCAGAGACTGAGATTTTAAAAGAATGCTTACTGAACAAAGAATATTCTTTACGATAACCAGCTCTTCATCAGGTTCTACAGTTATATATATATATATATATATATATATATATATATATATATAGCAGTGAATGAATTAGCGTTGTTAACGACATTAGTTAGCTTAGTTTTATTCTATCACTTTCCCAGTGGAGTTTCGGTAGCAGTTGTGTTTACTTTTACGGGATGGGGTTGCTAGTCTCATGCCCAACCTTCACTCTTTACCAGTCTTATTACTGGCTTAACGAGGTAAAGGAGTGAGTTGACTGGGGATCGAACTCCGAACCACATACGCAGTTGGCGAGCATTCTACTGCTGTACCACAGAAGCACAACATTAATGTTGTTTAAATAACATCGAATCAATAATAATAACAATAATATCAATGGATTACAGTTTGATAGCATCAGCATTACAATACACACAATATCAGAAAAATTAGGTGAGGTAATAATACAAAAAATAATGAGTTTATAGTCTCCACATAAGGCCTGGGCAGTAGAAGGGGTTAGCTGGTTGGATCTGTTTCTTATGCACACAGAGAGCACCGGTTGTTTAAGGCGAATCGCGATAACCTCTGCTGTTTGGAGTATGCCGTACTTGGATGTTTTTGCTGATTTATTTGGTATCCAAAAGATAACGATGGAGAAGGATTCTTTAATGCTAGCTGTCTTTGCGACAGGTTTGGATCAGGTGATCTCAAAGCGACCTGTTGATGATGGTTTTAAGCACATCTTTATTAGGTCACACCACACTGGTAGGTGTTCCCGAGCGAGCATGAAAAATCCAGTTCCTAGAGAAACGACCAGTATAACTCGCTCTACCACAAGCCCATTTGAATTGGTAGATGCATTTCGAAGTGGCTAGTTTAGAAGAAGACGAAGAGGAGGTCCAGTTTGATCAATGTAGTGTTTTTTGCAGTTGTTACAATTTATTTTGTAAATGATGTTGGTTTTAACTTCTTAAGCTGTTGAGTCTTTTGGTTGACATAGAACTGAGTGGAGTGATTTTTTGGTTTGTGTGCAACATCAATTTCTAAAGGTTTAAAGAGTAATGCAGTGATTTCTGAGATGTTGTTCTTTATATATGGTAAGATGATTTTTTTATATTTTCCTTGGGGGAATTTGATTTAACGGGTTGGGTTATGGGTAGATGTCCTTGATGTAATTTCGTGGATATTCATTCTTTTGGAAGACTTCCAAGGACACCTTTGGGATTACTCATATCAGGTCTGATTGCAGAAGTTGTGATGTGCAAAGGCTTGAAAACAAAATCCTACCGAAGATCAAACCAAAAATTTGGATATGCTACATGGACGACATATTTGTGATAAACAAATTCACAAGAGGACAGGAGGAATCCGGGGACAAAATTCCATTTTTGGACCACTTATTCAAGCGAACATCTAATAAACTCGTGGAGAAATTTAAAAGGTCACTTCAAGAAATTCAAGTATACGCTGAAGATGTTGCCTAGTGAGGCGATGAAGGCTTCGTAAGTAAATCATCCAGCGCAAAGGACACAACTACATCCAAGTCATCCTCCACCTGAGCTACAAATCTTCTCCATTATATATCTGAGCCCATAAGTGAACCATTAATCATAACCTCGAAAGTGTGTAATTCACAAAACACAAATTCCTTCGAATTCGTACAGAGAGTTGTCATCTGAAGCATACTGATGTCGTCTATCAGTGATACTCAATGTCTGCATTTCTGTTTAATTTCATCATATGTGCACCAATGAATATGACCTTAATCAATCGACTGTAGTAACTAAGGGAATGAATGACTTGTTCTCAAGGCACAATCTCATTCATTTCAGGGTAGACTAATCACATTAGTGTCCTTTTAGGTGAAGATGCTGAGTCTTCGAAACACCCTCTTGAACATGAAATCTTTGAGCATTTTGCGCATGTGATTCATCCCCTATCATCAAATGTAAAACGGTATCCCCGGGGTAGTTGGTTTGCACCGACTCATAGACTAAAGATAAGGAGTGCATGTTGACCACTGCGCTTGGACTGATCGGCCGACAAAACCTCAGAATAGATAGAAAAGGCTCATCTGACATTCGCCGTGACTTGCGTCACCATCATCATCTCTAGCATAAACGTTATATCCATCCAGCTATCGATCGAATGAGACTCACCATCCTTCTTTCCGGCTAAGAAAAATGACCGTTGGAAGCGGAAGTGGCTAGTTACCATTAACCGTAGAAGTTAGTTGACATAGGGTTGGGTTGGAAAAGAGTTAGGAATGGTTGGTCAATGCATGAAGTCTCCATCCGTGGATCTGAGCTAGCCAGGTAAGAAGCTGTAGACTGCCTGTTTGTTTGAAGAGTCCTCAAGATGCTTAAGAGCCAAAAAATAATTGGAGACTGTTGGTGATATGACACAAAATCGTTCTCAGTGGCGCAGATACATTCAACTCTCATTTGTAGTCACCCAGAGATCACAGCAGCCTCAGTAACTACATCCTATGAGATTACTGGTGACCAAAACGGATTCAGACGCTATTCGATTCGAAAAATAGCTTTAGAATCACAGTTTTTCAGCTTCCCTCCATAGGTAGACCCCTGAATGGCCACCGCTTTTGTAAGGAACCCCATCCTCATCGCCACCGCCGGCTCATGAAGGCCATGCATAGGAGTTATCTGGTAAACGGAGACTATGGACGCATGGAAGGGATTTCGAGAGGAAGACCGAAATCTACCCACTCTTGCCTGTACCGCCGCGTTTATTCAGGTTTTATATAGACTTACAATCTATCAATATTTACTTCAATAAAAATTGACAATTTCAGTGATTACTCCTCCAGTACATACATATACATACATACACAACAAAAAGCAAGGACAAACAAACAATTAATAATCGATATCAATAAATCAATAAATACGGATCGATTAAACAACGGTTAGAAGTGGTTAACAAATAACAAACCTTGACATATGAATTCAGCTACACCCGTTGCTACATTCCAAATTATAGCTATATGATCTTGTCCACCAGAGACAAGATATTGACCAGTACAATCAAAGTCAACACAGAAGACACTTTCTAAAATATAAGTAATAATAATAATAATAACAATAATAAGCGAGTGAATAAACAAAGCGACGAATGTAACTATATATATATTACTGATTAATTGAGATAAGTAGTTATGCACCGATCACATCAACCAACATTACTTGATAGCCAGTCTGATTGAGGTGATCCAAACACCTGGCGGTTGGCCGTTTCGCTCGTCGTTTGGAGCCAAGCTCTTTGTCAGTGATCTACCCAGTTTGACTGAGCTCAGTGAGTCGAGTCTGTTTTTAAGCCACTCGGATAAGACCAAGGTAGAGATGGGGATTATAAATAAAAATGCTTCAGATTTTATTGATACATGGTCTTATAATTGTGATGAACACTTTATAAACAACTTAAACCTATCAGATCGCATACGCTGCTCCCCGCCGCCCCCCCCCCCGCGGTTGTGTGCGACCACCACCTCTCAAAGTTTCACAAACCTAGGAAGTCATTAAAACCTATCGCATATCTCCTCCTCCTCCTTCAAAGTCAAAAATGTTTACTATACAACACAAGCTAGCGTTACAAAAGCCTGCAGAACAATGACAAGTGTTCTGGAGTCAATATAATAATGAACCGGAGGGACTGGTATATCTTCCAAATGATGACAAGGCTTCTCAGTGATAAGATGAGATGCTAAGTGGATGGGTCAACAAACAATGCAACAACAGCCTTCGGAAAAAAAAAACAGTAAACCAGCAACTCAAAAAAGTGCTGTTATAACTGAAGTGAACTGAACTGAATAAACCCGTCGCTATTTAGTTATGTCTGCGCCTGTTAATTACTATAATGGTAGTGAACTCGACCGTATATATATCTGGAGCCCTTACTTGCAGAGATCAATGAGTCCTCCCTATGTATGTGTGTCCACACGTACATTCAAATTGGTATATACAGTGAGAGGATGTGACATCATTTTTCTCATGTTCGAAGGGTTTAGATGGATGATATTGGCTTCACATTCTCAATTATTATGATATTAGCTGCATAAAAAGTCTTTTTAATCGCAGCGTTCAATCTCTGTTGAGTTACCAAGCAGCAATGATCACCTATGTAGTGTAGCTGGATATATACGTCTTTCTTAGGGGAGAGTTGAACAGTGGGTCTTGGTGTTCCGACTACTTTATATCTCCTAATGAACTAGTCTGGATAATTGTTATCAGCCAGAGTTTGTGTTAACTTTCTTTCTTCTTCATCGAGTGTGTTTGCAGTGCATATTTGTTGGATTCCACTGAAGAGGCACCTTACTAAGGCTCTATTGTACCGAATAGAGTAGAAACTATGATAATTAAGATACTGTCCTGTCCAGGTAGGTTTTTTATAAATAGATCGTTTTATTGGTCCATCAAGCCGTCGACTAACCAATATATCTAGGGAAGGTAAACAATTACTGTCCTATTCTTAAGACGTATCAATAAAACGTGTTTGGTGGAGGGCGTATCCTAAAGTTTGTTGAAGCCTTAGCTGGTAATTAGGAAGTTAAAACCACCTTTATGAGATCAAAGCAACAATTCGTCATCACACTAAATCACCTTCCTTGGTAAATTTTGTTTCGATACCAGGCAGGGTAGATGTACTATTACCTCCCTTATTTGGTTTAGTGATCTTCATTGTCATTTTGACCTTCAATATGCCTTTTTAACTTGACATGAGTTTATTTTCTCACCTCTTATCTCTTTCTTCACTAATTTCATATATATTCATTCCTATGACAAGTCGGTGTGTGATCAGATTGTTCGAAATGTGTTTCGCAAATACAACAGTACACGATTCCGACAAATTGCATCTTCTTATTGCTTTGTCAAAGTACCAAAAAGTAATATACTTAGGTGGAGAGAGTATGGTTAATCACTGAATCCTTGTTCATCACATCAACACTGAACAGGTGCAATCGAAATATATATATATATATATATATATATATATAATGGAGAAAGGCTATATGAAGCGAATCAGAAAATTGTGCGAATACTCGGAATTGATATATGATTATGAACAGGAAATACAATTGTGCTTGAAACTACATGATCCACTTATGAATCCCGTGTATTATACCGAATAAATTTATCTAATACAGAATGACAGTGTAATCCAAGGTGCACAACATTTCATCCCACTTGGGGGACTTGTTCGTCATCTGGAGATACCTACATTGAAACTGATACTATCCCCCCATGGCCTTTCACACTACGGACAACCCCCATATTTTAGTGGATATTGTCTTGGAGTTTGAAATGATGGGTGTCGGGTCTGAGTCTCAGTGGGGACACTGTCCACCACCATACACTGGCTGGGGGAGGGGAATGCATGTACACATCCAACTAGCTAACGAGTCAGTTCCAAATAAGACGAAATAAGCATCCCCTATATTCAACTGCTAGTCACCGCCCCATTCAATCCTCCACCCGTTCAAGGTACTTCAAGTCAATCCTCATACAACTTCGAAGCATCGGCTTACTAGGAGGCAGCACCAAGATATTAACACAGAGGTCGAACATTTCAATCCAATCCATCAATCAATAAATTGGAAAATCAAATATCTCGACTTAATAGTAACACCAGCTGTCTAAGCTGATGAGCCCTGCCACAAACGAAACACCTGCCCGGTGTTTAGGTCGCCTCGATCTAGCTGGTTGGCTAGCAAGCACTACTAGTTGTGAATATGAGCGAGTGGTATACAACTACTACTCGTCATAATCAATCAGTAGTATGTAGTTTTATGAGAAAACAAAATCAAAAATTCACTTAAACACAAATAAATATACGAAAACACATACCTTTATGTCCTGAAAACAGCTGGAATGTATCATCTTGAGGCGGTGTGAACTCTTGAACAACATCCATGTGCTCTTCAAACATATCGCCTTCTATATATGTTGAAATCAAAATGTGAAAAACATCATAAATTTAATCGATTTGCACACAAAAACAAAGAATAAGTTACAATATGAAGTTAAGTACATTAAAGAATTCCGTGCTGTGTCGCTTGTTGTATGTAGGAGGTTAACGTTAAAGTGTTGGTTCGCAGGAATTAGATCTGATTGGTTACCTTCAGGGTTTCATCATCATGAGATGACATTAGTTAGAGAACCATTGGAGAAAGCAGCCCCACAGGGAGTACTGACAGACAGTTGGCTGTTTTGTCGGCCTAGTTGGGGTTCGAACCCACGACCTGCTAGCTATAAAGCGAGCTCGTAGAATATTAAGCCACTTGGACCAGCCCATGAATTCCAACTTCTGTCAATTCACGAGTGAGCGCGAAACAACTGTCCAGTACTCCTAGGTGGTTTCCCAATGAAATGCTGTAACTAGTCAAATTAAATCCCTGCAAACCTACACTTGAATATAAATCTGAGGCTCAATAGCGGATGGCCCTACTCAGGTAGGTAGTTACCTGGGTTCTAGTGAGAAGTCATGAACAGTGTGGTACAGCAGGTCAGTGGCGGCGGGTGAGGGAAAATACTCCTCACAGGTGATATTGGCTAGTGGGTCGGTCCGTATAGTGAGTTAACAGAAGTTGAAATTCATGGGCTGGCTGTGGGTCATTGGATCGGGTCCCACTGGCTGAGTAATCGTCTACGAGCTCATCTTGCAACCGGACGGTCGACACTTCGAACCCCTGTGATGAGTGAGTACTGCTGGAGCGGAGCATCATCCTAAACTAGGCTAACGAAACAGCTAGCTAGCTGTCTGGCAGTACTCTCAACTGGTTTTCCAATGGTTCTTAACCGATATCAGCTTATGATGAAATCCTAAAAAAATATTCAATTGAATTGTACTATAGAAAATAACGAAAGATCCTTGAGGAACACAACAACAGTGTCCCCTACATATATATATATTGGATAAGAAGTACACAAAACAGTTTCTTGAATCAGCAGCCAGGGTTAACACATTCGGCTAATGGTAATGTCCCTGGTTAATTGATTCAAAATAAGGAAAATAAGCAAAGGTCTATAAAGAGAAGATAAAAGTATGACAAGGCTGCCTGGCGTGATATTCCTGATTGTTGTGGATAGGGTCATGCGGTGAACTGTGTCTAAGGGAGAGAGAGAGAGAGACAGGGAGGAGATAGGAATGAACTTTGCAGAGGAATTCTGTCTAATGTCAGACAAACTACAGGAGAAAACCAACATGTTCGAAGAAGAAGAGAAGAAGAAGCAACAAAATCAGGATTCCAGGTGGTGAAGACACCTAGCCAACCAACCAACCAACAACAACAACAAGCACCAATGACTAACACACACTAACAGGGAAGTTTGAAGAAAGTCACCAACGTCACCTATCTAGGCAGTATGGTTTCAACTACAGGCGTTCAGCACGGATGTGTTGTATATTACAGCGAAACAAAATTAGAAAACTAAGAAAGATCTTCCCAAATAATCTGAGATCAGTCTGGAAATCTAATACACTCACAGCAGCACAAGGATCACTATTCGAATTTTTACCACTAATGCCAAGTCAGTTCTTCTTCTGTATGATTCAGAGAGTCTTGGTGAGTCCATCAGAAGCATTCTGGATCAGGAGCTTCGTAGTTTTATCAACACAGCTGCCTTTCTAGCAAAGGTTATATGAATACTCCAGCCACCTGGCTGATGAGAGCATTTCGTGAAGACAACACACACCCGAGCCTATCCCCACCCTTGGCCATACCCAGTAGTCGGTTAAGACGTGAAAAAAATGAATTTAAACCAAGCTGGATTTAGTAAAGGCAAATCATTTTAGGATCAAATTGCAATTCTACGCATCATCATTGGACAGAGCACATAGAAAGGCAGTTAAATCTCTACCTCAACTTCAAAAAGACCTACGACAGACGGCATTGGCTGAGAAGTAGTTTGGAAACTACTTCAACATCATGCAGGGGGCGGTGCCCCAAATCTTTATCAACCACATTCAACAGCTGGCTATATGATAATGCCACGTGTGTTAGGTGATCCACCACAACGGAAAACTCACGAAGGTCTTTGAAGTGAACACAGGAGTAAAACAAGGCTACCTGCCTACTATCACTGGTGATAATTCTCATTGTGACGACTGGATTATGCATCAGGCTATAGGAAGTGAGAAGATAAAAATACACTGGACAGATAAGAAAACTTAAAGCTCTAGATTTTGTGGATGGTTTATATTTAATGTCACATAAACTCGAAGACATGATGGAGAAGATTTGAAGGTCAGATGGATGATTTTGATGTAGTTGAGTTCTCTGAGCTGGATAGTTAATTTGCGAAGCTTTCATTGCCCTACTACTAGGTAACATCTTCAGCGCATACTTCAATCTGAAGTGAGCCTTTAGATGTTGCCTAGTGAGTAGGGCAATGAAAGCTTCGCAAATTAACTATCCACCTCAGAGAAGACAACCACATCAAAAACTCGAAGACTTTACAAACGAAAACCAACAAGTTCAGAGAAGAAAAATCAGGATTCCGGCTGGTGAAGACACCTAACCAGCCATCAACAACAAAAAAGGCACCAATCACTATCAACAGGAGGAATTTGAAGGAAGTTACCAATTTCACTTATCTAGGCAGCATGGTTCCAAAAGCTACAGGAGACACAGATAATGATGATGATGACGATAATGCCAAAGCCAGTCACTGTTTCGGAAATGCGAGACACACCCTCCGTAAATCTGAAATCAGACTGGAATCGACTGCATACTTTCTTCATAAAGAACAAGAAATGTTTTTCTAAACAGCTTAAAGAAAGAGCGTTAGAAATTTAATAAGGTTACAATTGTGACTGAGTGAGAAGAAAGCTGGTAGTTGAGTGTCAATTTAACAAGTGTGAAGAGGGTGAAAAAAATGTGCAAAAGGAACATATGAAAGTGATAATAGTGAATTAATTATTAAAGTAAAAGCAAACTTAAAGTAAAATTTACAGGGAACGACAAATGAAGAGGTTAAGACCAAGGCAGAATAAGAGACTGGATAGACTTTTTCTATATACAGAGTACCGAGGTGTATTGACGAATTGCCAACGCATCCACCAAACACAAATGTCGAAACCTTATGCACTTTGTACTATTTGGTCTCATCTTGTAGATAATCTTGAAAGACGACGACTCTGGTGGAGCTACGTGGCTTGAGTTCACACCAAGTGCTCGAGAATTGCCCCAGTAACTGTCTTTCATTGTCCTTTTGCTAACCATACCGGATAATGTTCAGAGATGCGTTAGGAAAGTGTGCGCTTTTATTTTTAATTTTACTTTTATTTGCTTTTACTTTATTAATTAATTCACTAATATATCACATGTTCCTTTCTTACATTTTCTCACACTCTTCACACTTGTTAAATGGACACACTCAACTACCACCTTTCATCTCACTCAATAACAATTGTAACTTAACCAAATTTCTAAAGGTATCTTCCTTTGCGCCGTTAAGTAATGCGTAATTTACAACTCTTATTTTTATTTCTAAAGCCATTTTTAAGTAATTATGTCAATTATGTCACCCCATATAACCCAACAAATATCTCAAAGAAAGTGGAGATGAATTAGGTGTACACTAAAAAAACCACTGAGTAACATCATATGCCAGCCAAGCCATCTCTGCGAGTGGTACCCGATTGGAAACCAATAGGTGTTTGGGTGTCACTTCGAAGGTGACTGACTGGCTGGTTTCAACGTAGAACTCTGCACCGATGTGCAGCAGTTCCAGTCGCCACACTTCACTCAGCACACAAAGCAAGAGAAGAAAGTAAAAACAAATGCAAAATAGAGACAGTGAACAGAGATATGAGGCAAAAAGAATAGTAACAGCGAAGAACAATATAGTTTTATTGGAAACTATAAGTCACAAGGAGTGGATGCATCTGCACCAGCCACTGAGAACGATCACGTTGAGACAGCCCTATCATCAATTGTCTCCAGGCATCGGTGTTAACGGTTCCGAGGAACCCAACCAGGAAGTCTACATCTTCCTACGTGGGTGGCTGGCTTAAACTAACTGTTGTGGATTTCACTGACTGATGAGGCCATGTTTAGGTTTGACCACCAGCGTCTCTTTTCTAACCTCACCAATCCTATGTTACCTAACATTGCTCGTTATCGAGGAAGGCGATGGCTAGACATGGATTCGTAGCACATGTCCTAACCATCTCAACCGATGTAGCTTCACAGCCTCGTCGATTGATTTCCCCTCCCTCCTTACCTAGCACTCGACCGATGCCTAACTTCAATATTGCTCACTGAATGTCCCACATATCAACTGCCTTAACTGCATATAACGAATATCCTAAAAGTTTTCAGTTGCTTTGAGTTGGCCTGTTATCTGGCATAACGAATTTTTTTTTTGATGAACCTACGCTTTAGCACACTTTACGACATACACTTCATCTAGTATAATCTCCGGTTCTAAACCTGGAAAGGATAGAAGGGCGGGCTTGGGGCTAGCAAATCTGACCACCTAAGTTTCAACGTATAACTTTGCACAGAAGTGCGGCAGTTCAAGTTACTACATGCCATGTAACACACAAAAGTAGACAAAATAGAGAGAAAAAGGGGACTCAGAAGGTACTACAATAAGCAATAATGTGTGGGGAAATAACAATGGTAACAACTAAAAACATGAGAACTTAATACATATAAGAGACTACACAAAGAGTGAATGCATCAATGCCAGTGGGAACGATTTTGAGCCACATCTTCAACCACTGGTTCTTAGAATCCCGAAGACTCCAACCAAACAGGCTACCTACCTACACCTCCTTAAGTGGCTAGCTCAAATCAACAGTTCAAAGAATTCAAGGGAGTTATGCCGCCAGGTTTTAGGTTGACCACCACCTCTAACTCATTTTTAACCTAACCTTGTTAGCTAAGATAGCTCACCCGTCACGACTTCGTCGAAAAGAAAATTTTCTT